CTGAGGGTCCTGCAGCATCCCAGCTGTTCCCAGGACTGTGCTCTTCTGCACAGAGATCTCCGATGTTCCCGGGATCTGCTGGAGCCACTGGGACCACCGTACCTCAGATTATTGTAATGCCTTGTTTACCAGCTTGGACAAATCATGTCTTTCTCGCCTCCAAGCTGTACAAAATGCAGCGGCCAGGCTACTAACACGTTCTAGCAAGCGAGCTCCCAACAGATTTTAGAATTTCTTGTTCTAACATACAGAGCACTAAATGGCCCCAGATTGTTTATCCAAGCTTCTTTTAAAATTCACTGCTGCTCGTTGTCTCCGCTCAGAGTTTGTTGGTTTTTCCCCGTACACGACTGAAGACGAAAGGGGGCGGAGCCTTTCAGTCTGTGGCACCAAGGCTGTGGTTCACGTTTGGTTGACTCTGGAAACTTTGTTTAAACAGGCCTTCTGTTAATCAACACTTTATATTGTCTATTTTATTACTTAATGTTTTCTTTCTTTTAACCTTTGTGTGCAGCGCTTTGTGACTGCCTGTCTACGAAAAGCACTTAATAAATAAACCTGACTTACTTCACCCTCCACATCCTCTCGAGCTCTTCTCTGAGCCCTTGGTATTTCTCCAGCTTCTCGTGTTCCTTCTTCCTGATATTGCTGTCATTCGGAACCGCTACATCGATCACTACGGCCGTCTTCTTCTGTTTGTCTACCACCACTATGTCCGGTTGGTTAGCCACCACCATTTTGTCCGTCTGTATCTGGAAGTCCCACAGGATGAGGAAGTCAAGGAGTGCGGATATGAGCATGCTTACTGAATTGTTATTCATGAAAGATAGTAATGTATCGTGATTGTCCTCATCCTTGGGCACTGATAAGGAGGTGACATGACACTCACCTTAAGTGTCCAGCTCGCGTGTTACGCGTCTTCCTTAATCACTATGGATGCGGTAGCGAGGGCCTCAGTGTGTTTCGTGGCGACTCGCGGCTGAAACTCCTTCCCTAGTTGTCTCTCTGCTCAGCAGCTGAGTCATCCTCCTATTGTCCTCGTGCCTCATGTTACTTCTCGACTGCATCTTAGCTCCAGCGGATACCCTTAGAAAAGTACACGCGGTCCTAAAGGCGTTGGCGATATACCATTGCCTGCCTGCGAAGTGGTTGGGACTGGTGTCGGCATAAGAACTAGTGCCGAAGGATCTTCGTAATCAACGCAAGTCAGCGGTTGACTCACTCAGCCCGACGTTCCGACCTGAACCCTCATAGCGAGCTAGACGTATAACAGGTGGTATACGTTCCTCTTTGTTACCATCCGACTACACTTCTCCAGTCCGAACAACATCCATGTCATGCTGTATATCCTGGTGGTGTGGATCAGTGAATCGATGTCTCGTTCTCTTGGCATACAGCTTGATGTCATCCATGTACAGGAGGTGGCTGACAAGCTGCTCCTTCCGTAGTCGGTCTTGTTAATGATCTCACTGAGGGGTTCAGGCCTATGCAGAACAGCAGTGGGCACAGAGCATCTCCTCGGTAGATCCCGCACTTGATGGTGACTTGTGCTATGGGCTTGAATGTGGCCCAGTGTTGTACGCCACATCCCCATTGAGTTCCTGATGAAGGCTCTGCAACGACTCACAGCCTTAGCCAGCCGCTTGAGGAGGTACACCAGAGAGATAAAGGCAGGAGAATAAACCAGCTGTTCTCCACAGAACCAGCAAAGGTGTACTCTCAGTGGCAAGGGAACAATAAGAGAACAGCACCACCAAGGCTGGAGACGGAGCAATACTGGAAGAGCATATGGGAGAAGGACGCAACCCATAACGGCAATGCTCAGTGGCTAGTGGATCTGAGGGCAGACCACAGCGACCTCCCTGAACAGGGTCCAGTAACCATCACAGTGGCAGATATCCAAGAAAGGGTCTCCAGTATGAAGAGTTGGACAGCACCAGGGCCCGACATGGTTCACGCCTACTGGCTAAAGAAGCTGACTGCACTCCACGAGCGTCTGGCAGCACAAATGAACCAGCTGCTAGTTAACGAGAGACACCCGGAATGGCTAACCGAAGGCGGACGGTCCTGATCCCCAAGGACCCCAAGAAGGGACCGGTCCCCTCCAACTACCGACCAATAACCTGCCTCAGTACTACATGGAAGCTCCTGTCAGGCATCATATCGGCTAAGATGAACAGGCACATGGGTCAATACATGAGCGGGACACAGAAAGGAATTGGCAAGAATACCAGAGGCGCAAAACACCAGCTACTGGTAGACAGAACAGTCAGCCGAGACTGCAGAAATGACTTGACTGGGTGTGCAGACCATGTGAGCTTAAAAACAGTTTTGTTCAGCTTGTAGGTGTTTGTAATGAGAGCTTTAGCAAAGCAGGATTCTCAAAGTGAAAAACTTGCTCACTTCCTTAAATGATAAAAACGGTTCTGCTCAAGGATGCAGTGAGCCGCCCATCACACCGGCTGCTGTCCTCTGACTCAGGCGTGTCTTTGGCTCTGCAGACATCTTCCTGTCACACTTTGTTTCTGAGTGACTTTGATGCTGAAGGAAACTGGACTCACTCACACTGTGACGTTCCTACTTTTCTGTGACGGTCTGTGTCTCTTCCACGGTTAATTCCCTTTTTCTCACCATTTCTGTGCCAACACTTTCTGCAGTACAATACTGCTCAGCTGATGCTGTCCAGGGTCTGGTACCACAGTGTGCTCCAACACTACAGACAGAGGGGCTGAAGTGATCCAGGAAAGTTGGAGCAGCAGCTTTCAAGGCCTGATCAACCTCCTTTACTGCAGCTTTAAACAGTCAACCCATGTTGTTCCCTGAAAAAGGTCTTTTTGTATCGTTCTGAAACGGACATTGTGTTTCAGTTTTGGGATCATTTGATTTAAACCTGTGGTGTTTCACCACTTACCTTTGTACCAGTTCAAGCTGTTCACTGGACCGAATGACTTCAACTGCAATAAATTACTGGACAAATCGGGCTGTTCTAAAACGCTGGAGCGTATGCCACATCGGGCATACACAGTAAACGTATTCCTTATTTGGAAATGAATTTTCTAGACAGTTTTTTGCTTATTGACACAGAATTTACTTTTCATTTGCATTTCCATAACATGTATGATGATCATAACTTTTGCTGGTTTTATTTAACAACAAAACTGTTTGTTTGTTTTTTGCATTGAACAAATATGCATGCTGAAAATGTAAAAAAAATCCTGCTTCATATCGGAAGTACTTTCAACAACTTAGTGCATAAATCTGAACATCAGATTCATATAAATGGGAAAAATGAAAATATTGTTTTAAAACAAGAGAAATGAAAATCATGTAAGATCAGCATGTGCATTAACAACACCGAGCACGATGCTTTGCCAGAACAGGTACAGATACCACCTCCGTGACATCACGTGGTGCTTGTACCTTGCAGTGCAGACATCAAGGAGTGTTGTGTGTTGTGTTGCTCCAGCGTTGCAGCTCGTCCTGAGGCTCAGTTGCAGATCTTACCATTTAGCTCAGGCTAAACAGACGAAACAGACATGCTGTCACACGTGAGTCTTATATTTGTTTAAATATACTTGAATCAAATGATTAGGTCATTATCAGGTCTCTGGAGAACTTCAAGACATGTTGAGGAGCTCATTTAGCCATTTAAATCAGCTGACACATCTAAAACCTGCGGGACACCGGGACCCTCGAGGCCTGGAGTTCCCCACCCCCGGGTTACACCAATCGTAAAGTGGCCAAAAGCTCCTGTTTTAGTGTAGGATGTACCTTTGTGCTGACAAAGTCTTCCCGGCTTCTTAGTGATTACAAGTAGGCAACATCTGTCCCGAGCTGCAAAACACGAGCAGTCAGAAACTGCAAACCTCCAGCAAGAAAACCATCTCCCCCAGACTCACCAGCATGTGAGACGCTGCATCCATCATGGGTCTGACTTCATCCTGATGTTGTCTTAAGAACAAGACAGTTTCTTCCACTTTTTCTTCTTTCACTGTAATATATTGTTGTGTGGCCGATTTTGACTTTTCGCACAGCGCTAATGGCATGAAAGGAAAACATGCACCATCCACAGGTATGTGAATGTGAAAGGCAAGGTTGAGCCACCACTGCTCACAATCACTTAAAATGACTGACAGTGTGATCGTGTCTCCTTTCCTGTAAACTTCACTAAATAAAATTACTTGCAGAATCTTTTTTTTTCTGTAAAAGGCTGAATTGTTACCCCCGTATCTACTGGGAAGGACTTTTAAGTAAATGTGGTTATGTCATCATTTAAAGCGACATTTAATTCCAGCAGAATGGCACCATTGGTGAAGGACCACATCATAAAGCACCACCAAAGGTCCCGATAACTGCTGACCGAGTAATCCGGCCAAGAAAAAGACTGAATGAACAACAGAAGCTTCTCAGAGGTGAGGCCGATACTGCATAAGTACTATTAAACTTACTGGGGCATTAAACATGTTTATATGCACATGTGAAGCATGTGTGGTCTTTCCTGTACCACCCGTGTTTCCTTTTCTTTTCCTGCTGAGGTGCGTGATAGATATTCACTCAGACAGCCAGCTGCTTGTCTTTGCAGCATGTTTACCCACATCAGCAGCATATTAGCGAATGACAAGACCTCCCAGTCAGGCAGCAAACAGTGCATTAGCTATTGGCTCTGATTAGTAATGTTTGGCCCTCTAAGCCTGGTGTAAACGCACGAGCTTCATGTGAATAGACTTCATGTTTCTCTGTAAGCACCCACGTAGCTCCTTCCCACTGCAAATAAAGCTCGTTTGACCTACATGACAGCGTGGCCTCAGTGTAACAGGTGTTATAAGTCATTAGCCAAATTATTTGCTCCGCATTACAACTTCCTATAAGTGCAAACAACAAGGCGAAAGACACAGGCAGCTGTATGTAACTACATTTGAATGTGATCATGAATGTGAATGGAGCCAGAGAGACGTGCCCGACAGCAGGGAGGAGGAGCGACCAGGAGCTTTAAGTGAGACAAAATATTTTAATTTTCTAAACATAAACTCATTCATATTATTTACAGGTGGAAAATATAACACATCAAACAGAATTTGAATGACTCAACGCAGCTCACACAAATTCAAGTATAAAAAAGGAAAAAACTATCAAAATGTACAAAATATATCAAAGTGCTTGTAGATGGAGTTTAGGCAGGAGTACTGAAACTCCGGGTAAAGGTCCTTTTAAATATAAAGTATTAGGTGTGCATTAAATATATCAACACTTCATTGAAAACAACACCACGCGTGTACTCAGAACACATCCCCGCCCCCAGTCTGGATTCTTACGAGCCTTTCCCGTGACTTCATACTATCGAGATGTTGTCCAAAGTGCACGCGCACCTTTCTACGATCATATTGGGAAATTCAGCCACCTCTATCTCGGTGTAGTCCCCTTTCTTCACCAGGTACATGATGGGTAAAGGCGCACTCTCGGACACCGTGCACCGCCGCTCGCCGTACCCGAAGTTGCGCTTGGGCTGCTTGCAGCCACCGGTGCACCTGAAAGCCTGGTACCCAGCCGGCTCAATGATCCAGTACTGTGTCCATGTCAGTGCGCGGAAGTTGATGAAGTACTCCTCTCTGCAGCAGGTGTCTTTGTTTTGGTTGTCGCAGTCACCGCGAGAGCTGAGGACGAAGAACAAGGAAAGTTAGCTGACAGCTGCTAGCATTAGCAGTAATGCGATTTAATTGATTTGCGTTGCTGGGGGGGGATCAGGTGCTCCAAAAGCTGTCAAAGGCCCCAAATTTCTTAGCTACACCCCTGCTTGCTATGCAGTGGTCAATTTATAGACTGATTTGTGTTTTCAGTTCTGTTACTTCAAATGACTTTGGATCATTCGTGATAGAGAGCATATGGTGCTCTTCAGTGCCAGTCTGTAATTTGCTGCTAGATTTCTCTGAAGCACGAGAATCTGTAAACCTCCGCCCCTTTGCCACCACGCAACACTTCTATTAACGAATGCAAATGCTGACAGGTAAAAACAGCACAGGGTTAATTGTCACACTGACACAATATCCTGTATTTCGCGCCCTTACCCGTACTCTTCGAGGTTGAGTGTGTAGAGGACGAGCTCGGGCTTTCCCAAGGTGTTGTCCGTCTGCTCCTGGGTGGTAAAGCGGACACTCTTGGCCATCTCTGCCGCATAACTGCCAGGTCTCTCGCCCTCGATCCACACCTCCAGGTGCATAGGTGTCTTCTGCTGTGTCTTGGACCAATAGTGCACCGCCTGGGTGACATCAAAGCTCTTCCAGCCTGTCTCGTGAATGGGGATCAACCTGTAAACGCGATGGGGGCAATTCATTAAAGTGAGCTCCAACTGATAACTAGCGGAGAAGAATACCGCTGTCTTTTAATTAAGATAGCAAGTTGATTGGGGGGGGCTAATTTAACGGATCCCTTACCGCGAATCTACCAGCGACGTCCGGTTGGATCCGTTGGGCAGCACCTCCACCCAGTAGATGCTGACCCTGGCGTTGCTGACGGGCCGGTGGCTCTTCCTCTCCACCGTGAATCGTTTGTGGTGGGAAGCCCGCTGGTAGAGCTTCAGCTCGGCCATGGTCACCTCACTATTATCCGGGATCCTCGCCTCCATGTCGAACATCACGCGTTGCCGACTGGTGTCAGAGTAGACGTACTCCCCGGAAATATCTAAAACACAAACCATTTCCAGCTTTTTAGTCAATTTCGCCTCTTGCGAAGGTTAAAATGACTTTTTTCATGAATATACACTGGTGCGTAAAAGTGCACCGGGTGTTACAGCTATTATGCACGTAAAATACTCTACAGCAAAATCGTTTTCTTTTCTTTTTTTGAATCTGCATGCTCCATTTGTTAAACATTTAAAAAGTGCCTACCTGCATTGCCGGGGATTCCTTTCAGGATGCCCGCAAGACTAGGCAAAGATCTGCGCCTCCTGCTGTGGTGCATCTTCAGCATGCTCGTGTACTTATTTCTTATATGCGCCGGAATCACCAGATTTTCCACATCCCTTTTATGGATTCTAGGAACTTCATCCATCCCAAGCTTCTGTAGCAGTGCGTCCTTCATATCCTGATGCGTAAAAGCCTTAACGAGACCGAAGAGAGCGGCGAAAAAGACACAAGCCCGAATGAAATCCATGACGAAAGAGAGAGAGAAGGAAACTTCAGTGTGACAGACGGCAGCACAGTAGCGCAGGAGAGACAGAGTGTGTCCCTCTGACACTCCTCTGGTCCCTTATATTGTTGCGGGTCCTCCCCGTCTTTCGCACTTTGTCGATGGGGGCAGGGACCCTTATCAGAACAAAGGTGCGACAATACAGCCCCATCCTAAACAGGATATCTAAGTGGCCATACTTCAAACAGCAACAATTAAGACTTGAGGGCCATCCGTATTGGAGGTGTAATTTCACCGCAGTTATGTTTGATGTGGCCAGAAGGAGGATTTCTTTAAAATCCGTTTCTTGCTGTGACAAGACAATCACGTGATCTTTGTTTTATGTGCTTATATTTTTGCTTTTACTTGATTTTGAAAAGAAGAACACTGTGGAGAAGAAGGGTTTTATTTGTAGCAAGCTTGTTGTATTTGAAGTGCTGAAGAGCTTTTTTGGTTAAGTTGAATAAATGACCGTTGCTGTCTTTATCTGGACACTAATTTCTCTTAAATTGGAATACTGTCCTCCCACCGTGTGTCCTATGCAGCTACATATGTGCCTCAGACAGACATTACTTGACCCTGTGAACCTGAAGTGCCCTCTCCTCCTTAGCACCCTTGTCTGCACACACACACACACACACACACACACACACACACACACACACACACACACACTCTGATGTGTACATTCCACTGGACAATGTCAGCCTGGGCCCAGTCTGGCAGCAGTTTGTCACACGATGGGCTTAACTTCTGTCTGGATGGCTGCAGAACCTTTTTTATCCAGCAAAAGGGTCTAAAACCAAGCAGCATGTTCACCTTGAGTCTATAACAAGCAAGGCAGTGGGTGGGGGGTCCATGGAGAAGGAGTGCAGGGCCTCGAGGGAGGAGGGGACGCTAGGGGATTAGATGTTTATTCGGACCCCTGTAACCCATTCTAGGTCCACTCCAGCAGATTAAAATTATTAGCCAAACAGACAGTTAATCCAGGGGCTGTATGAGAAAGGGAGTGTGTGTGGGGGGAGGCAGGGGGTGGATGTGGATTGGGGCAGGCTCTTCACAAGTTGGTGATTATCTGATTCCATTGCGAGGATTTGCCTTGCCTTTTTTGTCACACAAACATTAGAAGAGGGTTGCTCTCACTGGCTGCCCAGAAGCTCCAGGCTCTGGTTGTGTATTGGCCGTGTTTGCTTAGAGATGTCAGACAGACTGAAGGAGCACACAGGAAGAGCAAATGACAGATGACTGCCAGACCCGCTTGTAGCAGCTCGAGAGGTTGCATCTGCCCAGTAAAGACAAATTATTAATTAGTGGCAGAGCCCCAGTAGCACATGACACGGTGCACGTGTGTTGTAATCTTTGAAATGCATTTATTGGAAAGGTAAAGTACGTGTAAGTGTGCAGAGGGATAATCAGCGGGTAACAAATAGATGTGATCCATCCTGTTTATTTCAGTTATACTAAAAACGTGCGTCTGTGTCGGGATCCTGCATTGCAGCTGGTTGTAAGTCAGCATCAGAAGCCTTTGGCAGGGTTCGTGTGCGCCTGTGTTTGTGTTTCTGATTTTGATGAAGGTCAGGTTTGCAGTTCGGTTTGCTCCTGATTTGATTTTATCCTTAAAAAATGTTCTTTTGTGCACTTTTTTCATTATTATATATGTATGTGTGGTATTTGTCACACTGTGAGAGTTCATCGCTTCAGAATGGCACTGTAACGATACAATACAAACGTGTGCACGGTCATGCACATATCCAAAATCTCAATAAGCAGATATTTTATTAAAGTTAGCTTTAGAAGTTCACCGTATCACTTCCTGTAGTTTTTCTTTTGCTTTATTCTAAACTCTAAAAAATTCAGTTTGTTTAATAAAAAAGAAACTCGCTTAATTTTAGTTCATTCTAACAACGTCAGTCTTTGGTTTCATGATATTTAATATGTATGTATATATATTGTGTTTTTGGTTGGGACATTTGACGTCTGTGGCATTCTTACAACCCAATTAGTGGAAACAACATTAGTCACCAGACACTTTGTTCATTTTATTCATTTAAACGATGAGACTCGTTAATTAGGCTTTAATCAACAGTCTAAAGAGCCCATGTTCAGCCATTACCCCTAACTACATGTTGTTAACTCTTTGAGGTCTCAGTGAGGATTACAAGTAACCCCGACTAACCTGAATTTAGCCTAGACTCCAATAGTCCAACATCTGAGCCACAGAGGGGTGACGTCTTGTATTTGGCTTCTTTGGCACGCTTTAAAAACTATTTGAAATTGTTTGTTTCCCCAAAATATGAAATGCTTTCTTGTTTTCTTCAAAGATTACAGCTGGGATTAAATTAAAAATAAAAAGTATGCCCAAAATGCTGACTTAAAGTAATTTGATTACATGTACCTGTACATGTTCCATGCCATTGGATAAATATACATTCAGTTTATGCCAAGCATGGTTTCCTTGACAATTCATTAATAAACTTCATTTTTTAAATTTCAGTTGCATTTTAATCAAAAAATGTAATTTGTGTTTATCAGGGTTATGACTCATCACAGACTGTTACAGGGATCTTGAACATAAAATAAAGTGGTGTTGTTCGTGCACACTGATGGTATACTGTTACTTCTGTTTTCCTTCAAACACCGAAGGAAGGATAAAGCTGCTCAAAAGTGTATGCTAATGATAATAATCAGCGCATCCTCCATAACAAAGAGCCACGGGTGAGGTCCAAACCTGTAGACTGTCTGTGGTCAGCAGACATGTAAATTCCAAGCAAATCTTGTCCAGTCCAGCCAGATGCCAGTCTAAGTGCCTGCTCTCCACAGCCTAAAATACTCTGCTGTCCTCTCTGCCTCACATTACAACCCCTAATTTGGGAAATTAAGATGGCCTTTGTGTGATATTTCTCAGTCCTCCTTCCTTCCCATGACGCTCAGAGACGAGCTGCCTAGTTCAAAGCCGCATCTCATACACTCATAGGTGCCATTTCTTTTCAATCAAAGGCCCAACGAGCTCCTTCAATCCACAACGCAGGTGTTAATTAGTATCCCTTCATTTGCATTCAAAAGCAGTCCAATTTATAGGTCAATCCGTTCCATTTGCGCAGCATCAGACCTCCCTGTTTCTGCTTTGAATGCGTATACAGGAAGAGGGCAGAGGCGCAGTTTGGTTTGCGCATTATGTTGTAGCATCTCATTATTACGCGTCTCCCTGGGAACAAGGCGGAGCTGCTGCATGCTCCAAAAAGTCAATATTGAACTTGTGTTGGTGGTCACGGCAAAAGCCCCATTATGATGCGCTCGAGCATTGTCAATCACTGCTACTGGCCGCCAAATATTTGGAGAAATGAACCGCACTAGTTTGCACATTAATGGTCCACACCAGCTCTTCTCTTTCAGCTCCCGCAGACGCGTCTGGATCTAAAGCTGGCTGCCAATAATCATCGATCAGTCCGTGACAAAGACGAAGCGCTAGACCCGTGCAGGGCAATACTGTTACTGCCCTCCGCGATGTCGACCAACCGCAGGACGGTTTAATTGCATTTCGCACAGCGAATGACGGATCAGTCAGCGCAGACATGCGCGTTGACCCCGCTGCAGACAAATGGGATCAGACACGTTTAATTAGGACTATCAATACATATTTTCATTGGCTTTTAATTCATCGACAGGCTGCAGTTGTGATGGACTGAACCAATGAATGTACGTGGCTCCTAGGAAATATTTCAAAATCTACAACCCGATGAGGGAAAATCTCACGCAAGAAATTCAACAGCTCTGTTGTGCAACTTACAAAAAGGCTCGTGGCTTTCAGTAGCTGTGCTGAAACGGTTTGTACAGCAGAGGACGCCATGCGCAAGCGCGTAGAGGCTTTAAAGGAAACTTCCACCCCGAAACCCCCATTTGCGCTGTGCTACGTTCAAAAGATCCGATAATCATGACGACGTTAAATAGATAGCAGGAAGGCAACATCGACACTTGGATTGATAGCATCATCGAGGAAATAAATATATGAATAAATGTACACTTAGATGTCTTTATTGCCCTTATTGCTTTGTCCTATTCTAATTAGACCACTTGTGAACATGACAGTTGAACTGAATTGTTCATTGTACGTGACTTTTAACAGGATACTTGCAGTGCTTAACAAATTTATTAACCTCCTTGTCAAAAAACAAGAAAAATATCTCAGAAATCTGTCAAGCACTTGTTTAAAATGACCTTATTTATTTTATTTTATTAAGAGTAAATGTGAAAATTCATGGATAACAGCAATAATTGTAGTTTGGCATTAAAAGCAGCATTTGATTTAACAGCTTGCGCACACTGGTCGATTAACCATTACAGAAATATCAGGAATGACTTTGGTCATTGAGACACTTTAGAGCAGAGATGCTGACTCGTTTTACATCAAGGGCCACAGGTAACCCACAGTGATCTGAAGTGGGCTGGAGGAGTCAAACTAGCCTTTCTGTGACATTTAACCACATTTAATCCCAGAGATATGTGCATAGAACATAAACAATTTCAACAGCACACGTCCGTTTTTCTACATGAAAGATGTGTAAAATCACTGAAAACGATCATATTTATATAACATAGTTTTTGTTCATTCACAGAAAATGTTCTTTTCCCCCCAAAGTGTCCACAGTACACAGCGACAAACAGGAAGTTGTCTGTCATTTATTTGTTTATGCATTACTTAAATACTTTGGTGTAGCATGAATGACCATGCAGGAATCTTAGTCAGCAGAAAACGTCATATAAAAGTTATAAATACACAGTTTAAAGTCCAAAAATCCATCCTCGCAATCAAAGCCTCCAAAGTCGTCCCCGCAGTCGGATTGGAGGCTTTGGCGGGCAGATTCTGGCCCCGGGCCCTATGTTTAACACCACTGATTTCAAACCTTACATGGGCTGGTGTTCTAATAGATGTGTAAAGCACTGTACGCCGTGAGCAACCATCACTGCTGACAAACTGTTTTACATGATATTCATTCTTTCATGACAAAATGACACCTGATTGATGCGAGGACATAAAGAGTCCGAGTGTCGACCAGGGAGGATTTCACATTTCTACGAACTTTCAAGACCCATGTCACACAAACTCTGATGTGATCAAGTCTGCTGAAGAACAGGAGCACACGTTTAATTTAAGCATTTAAAACTAACTATAGACGCTTTACATGAACATAATTCACCTACCAAACACGTTTTTACGATATTAATGAGGACCGAGTGTCGTATCAGACTGATTAGATCCTGTTCATCACATACTTCTAAACTACCAGTGCAGGAAGTGACAATTTTGGAAAGAGAAATAATAACAATCCTTCCACGTTAAAGTGTTGTAATACAAATACACCTCAGTATATGCAGTGAACGCACCGAGACCGAAGGCGCTCGGTTTCACTGGGTTTGGCAAAAAGATTGCGAAGCGCTCAGAGCGACCTGTGACAGGATTATCTCAGCAGACGCCACATGATTCCTGCTTTCTCACCACACATCGTTTCATTTTCATGGTCGAGCTGCTCGCTGTCCTGAAGCATTTGGTGCTGTGTGTTTTTGAACTTTACTGATAAAAT